AACAGTTGTAGAAGTTTCATATAATTTTAAATGATACAAAAGAATTTCATCCCTCCTATTTTAAATTCTGTTCTTCACTTAATATATATGTAAATAAAAATAAATCGTGCCAGTATTTATTCTTTGATTCGCTTTTTATCCTTTCCTTTTATACACAAAAATTACTTGTAAGAAATTAGTAGCCTAAGATATACAAAACTATCTTATAAAGCACACGCACGAACGATAATAACAGAAATTTGTGATTTATGTATATAATCATTCTTCAAATTAAATCTATAGTAATCAGTAGGCGTGAATCGAAGTTTTTAACACTTCATAGCACATAGTACTTCAAAAGCCCGCAGTCATTATAAAACACTTATATAAGAGCTTAAGAGTTTCATCGGCGAGTGTTCTAAAGTAGGTAGTCTATTCAAACTTGCGATACTTAGCTTGGTTCCCACCACGTATACTTGGACCTGCTATTCCCGCCGCTGCAGATGTTGTTGTCGTTAACGTTTCACTATTGTTACTACCTGCTGTGGCGCTAACTAGTTGCATTCGCCGTTTTACGACGATTTTTCGACCCTGTGTAGGCACAACGGCCGTGGTTGTCAATGCCTTTGTTGTTGGCACTTTTACGCTAACCAGTTCATCAGTGTGGGCACTACTGGCGGTGCCATCCGCATCGTTAGCTGCACCATCTGCACTAGTGCTTGCTGTATTCTCATCGTCCTGAAATAAAACATCTTTAAAAATTTACTTAATTTTTCATTTAATACAATTTGTATACCTCATCAGCTACATCTTCGCCAGTTTCCTCTTCTTCAAATTCTATATTATAACCTTCGGGAGGCTCAAGGAGTACCCCATTCAATGTGGGCAAAGGAATTTCCGGTAAAATCACTTGATGATTTGGTCCATTACGTTCGTTCATTAACTGTTGCAATAGTTGGGAAATGTCTTCGCGTTTGCGAGTTACCGTTATTGTATCAAACCAATTACTTAACTGTTTAATCGGCACTCTATAATCTCTGATTGGATCTTTGAAGAATTGTTCCACGTATTGCAAAAGATAAAGACCGCAGTCCGTGAAATTATTTTGCTGTGGCACTTTAACGCCATGACCCGGCATATTATCCTTGTTGAATATATGGGGTGTCACATCAGGCATTTTAGCTCGATATTCACACGTCAAGTAATCTCGTAACGTAGCAACAACTCGACTACGTGACGCACCAGCCAACGAATCAAAAATTAATATCAACGGCTGCTTAATTGCTTGTGATTTAACGCCGCCAGTATTGCTATTATTGGAATTGTTATTAGTTGCTACCGCTGATGCATTCGCTGTGGATGATACTGCAGATGCACTGGTTCCGCTATCGAAATCACTTTCTTCTGATGCTAAATCACTTTCGTCGCCCTCCGCTTCATCACGCTCGCTGTCATCATCACCAACTCCACACACTTCCGCCAGAATATTTCCGCTATCACGTTTTGAGAGTGGTGTTATAGTCGTATTACCAATTTGCAGCGATACCTTTTTCCCTTCTATAAATGAAATGGTTATAATAAAAACAATATGAATATTACATTTTATATATATATTAATATATTAATATTATATTATTTTTTATATTTACATACTTTGCTTCTTCAAAAGTTGCGGCTCCACTGGTATATTCGTATCATACGTTACAGGACCTTTCAACGTAGGAAAACAAATTATCGCTAGGAACCAATGTGATTGCTCATTGATTGGAATTATGATAAAATCCTTCTCAAATAGATTCACATTTTTTTGTCCAATTTTGAACACGGGCATGCCGCTTTTGAGCTGCAGTCTGTTTGACATCTTTGTCTACGTTGTGATTATGTCTTGTTAGTGTTGTTAAGCGCTTGTAAAAGAAAGTGCTGAAAATGAAAGCGCGATCACGCTGTGTCTGTGGGATGACATTGTTGTGTACCCATTTAAGATAAAAATCGATTATGATATCGTTTAGATACTGATCAGTGGCCAAGCAAAGGTAGTCTTCCGTATTAATTGAAATACCACCTTTACCCGGCGGATAAATCAGTAGCTGGCGTATTTCGTTGGGATTCAGTTGAGTGGTGGTGACGGATGCAGATGTGGTTGATCTGTAACATCGAAATTTATTAGCTGCATGAAAGACGAAATCTTAACCACAATCTTACTCGGCCGTTTTGTTGGCGATATGCCGGTCAGCTGCTTCTGCACGTTGTAGCAAGTCATGTGCATCCACATCGGAAATTTCATCAAAGAAGTCCCAAATTGATTTGATGACGTTGCGTGATTGATCGGAACAGGCGCTAAATTGCAATATTATTTTCCGGACTTGGTATGGACCATTAGGTGAGAAGTATGCACCTAATTTAAAATTGATATACATGTGAAAAATTTTATAAATAAAATTAATTTTATAAATAAAACTAATTTTATAAAACATGTAGTTAAAATACATACAGCCATCGAGGGGTGCTCCATTGTCTTTCATTTGTAAACTGTTCTTTATATATTGTGCACAATTGCGTAATGTGTAGAAGCACAACATGGACTCAGACGCTTTTGAGAAATGAGCAATAATTTTCACAACTTCACGTTTATGTATATGCAATGGGAAACTCTCATTTTGATTAGTTACTAACGGTGCTACAAGGCAAACACCTTTGGAAGTAAATGTGACCTACAAATGTATTGATAACTATTTTAGTCATTCTTTTCTCCATACATGATGCACGAACTTACCGGATCCTTTGGTTCAAAACGATATGTACCAATTCGCACAACTTTGCACTGCAATGTCGTACTTAATTTGTCCGAGCAATTTGATAGATCAGTCACATCGTCCCTCTGAAAATCTGAAAACGGGAAATAAAAAACAATAAATACAAAACATCTTTTTAACTTATTTTAGTACACCCCCAACAATTTTAACTTTATATCCTACAACACATTTTTTTAATCAATTTTTTCAGCAGCCCTATTAACTACATATACACGTTTTTTTTATTTCCACACATCTTCTGACGTTTAGACAGCAGCGGCTTACATTTCGGCCACTTTATACTTTTTTAAATGTCTACCTTCCAATTCCATTGCTCTATTGATTAGTGTTTCGCGTAAAAATCATTAAGAAATGTTTTCTCGATGTTTACGTAGCAAAACCAGCAAAAATTTAATCAGATTTTTCAACTTCATTAAATTTTGTAACTTTGCTTTGCTTTTTTCTTCATGGCATGATGGCGACGACGTTTGCCAACAGCGACACCTGATGGCAATTAAATTCGAACATGAGAAAGGTATTGCCACATACAAAATTGTTAATGCTTTGGTTATTTTTTAGCCATTCTGCGACATGCACCAAATACAAATCCATCCCAATAAACACCAAAAAAATATTTCTCCTACCTTGGAGAAATTCATAGTTCTCGAACTCATATCTAACTGACGCGCAGATACGTAAAAAGTGATAGAGAAACGAATTTTTAATTATCAAGTGAAAAACTAAAGCTATATGAAGAGGAAAATTACCAACAAAAAGTAAATAATCATCAAAATATCCTTAAATACTCTTGAAAGAAAATAAAACGCCAAGTGAATCAAGTGGCAAAATTACTGTCGGACTGTGTACTGTGAAGTGAATTATTGTAATACGATTTTGCTTAACTACATAGGGCGTGTGTGAATCGGTAACAAAGTTCTATGGGGAAAGCTGTTGAATAATATTTTTACTATGGTGAGAGAGTTTTGCCAATTTGCTGTGTGAAATTAAATCTTTTCTGACAGCATTAAATTTTTGATAACTGCAGATTAATGCGGCATAAAATATTACAAATTGAAGTGAAATTAATATTTTAAGAAAACATCTACCATCGCTGATCGTAATTCATCAATTTAAGCTTTTATTTAACGAAAAATTTCACACATCAACAATCTTTGCGATTGTCAAAATTTTCTATTCATTTGTCAAAAATTTCACTAGCCTCATAAGCTACAGAAATTTTATTCACCTCCTAGTTGTCAAAAATTTACTCGCCGCGAACTTTGTTACCGATTCACACACGCTCATAATACAAAAGGAGTAATATTGACGAGACAGAGCTTCATCTGCCTCGGGAGACACGCACTACACTTGCTCAACTTCGCTCCGGCTACTGCAGCAGGTTAAACTCCTACTTGAGTAGGCTGAATGAGGATGTGCCGAACGAATGTCCGGCATGCGGAGAGACCCCACATGACTCGAACCATCTCTTCGCATGCCCGTAAAACCCGACAACATTAACGGCCCTGTCCCTGTGGACAGAACCCACAGAAGCTGCACGCTTCCTAGGGTTGCCGTTAGTGGAACTTGACGACAACGACTGAGATACCAACCGATCTGGGCGGGGTTGTTGTAGCCGCTACAACAACAACAACAACTATAAGATCCTTAGAAGAGAAGTGACCAGAACG